CCCCTCATCCTATCTCATCTCATTTCATTTCACCCTCAGCCTATCTCATCTCATCTCATTTCACCTCATTTCACCTCATCCTATCTCATCCTATCTCATCTCATCTTTCCTCGCCTCACCTCTTCTCGTCTTATCTCATCTCATCTCATCCCGTTTTATCTTATCTGGTCAACTCTTTTCTGATCTGATTCAATCTTATCTGATCTGATCTGATTTCAGTGTGATGGTACCTTCAAACCTTATTTTATCTTACCTGATCTGATCTGATCTGATCTGATCTGATCTTAGGTCAATGTGAAAGTACCCTCAAATCTTATCTGATCTGATTTGAGTGTGATGGTACCCTCAAACCGTATCTTATCTTACCGGATCTGATCTGATGTCAGTGTGACAGTAACCTCAAATCTTATCTGATCTGATCTGATCTTATGTTAGTGTGACGGTGGGTGCCCTCAATTCTTACCTGATCTGATCTGATCTGATCTTTTCTCAGTGTGATGGTACCCTCAAACCTTTTGAGCCTTTCAACGCAGAAGCAGACGCGGAGACTTTGCGCACAGCCACCAAGGGCATCGGTGAGTTGTTCATGTTGTTCATGTTGTTGTTGTTGGTGTTGTTGTTGTTGTTGGTGTTGTTGTTTTTGGTGGTGATGATGGTGTTGTTGTTGGTGTTTTTGTTGTTGGTGTTGTTTTTGTTTTTGTTGGTGGTGGTTGTGGTTAATGTTGTTGTTGTTGGTGTTGTTGTTTTTGGTGGTGGTGTTGTTGTTGTTGTTAGTGTTGTTGTTGTTGGTGGTGGTGGTGTTGTTGTTGTTTTTGTTGTTGTTGTTGGTGTTGTTGTTGTTGTTGGTGTTGTTGTTGGTGTTGGTGTTGGTGTTGGTGTTGTTGTTGTTGTTGTTACTGTATCTCCTCAAAACAGAAGGGTTTTGTTTCCTCAACTGAAAATCCGAACATTGAGACTTTTAATTTTCTCCTTTGCTCAAGTCAGAAGGTTGACCATTGAGACGTTTTCACTTTGCTCAAGTCAGAAAGGTTGACTGATGACTTTAAAAATAAAAAGTTTTCACGAAACAACAAAAACTGATGACTGAAGGATCTGTTGTGGCTATGAGGAGAACAGTTTTGAGCCTTTATGAATGAAGGTCAGTTTGGTTCTCAACGTATGCCACCCCCCCCCCCCTTTATTTGATTCCCTCTATTGTTTCTGTCTGTCTATCTTACTTTATCCCCTGCACTAAATCGCCGTTGTATTGTTTCAATGCTTTTTGCTTTACTCAGACCAACAAACCAACCAACAGACGAAAAGCAAACGAGCAAACAAACAAACAAACAAACAAACAAACAAACAAACAAACAAGCAAAGAGGCACTTAACTTCCATTATCTCTTAATCTCTGACAAACAGCTCCCAGAGTCTCGCCGTCGGAACCACTGTGCCTGTGAGTCGCTGGCAGCGGCTCGGGCACATTCCTTTACGACGACTTTGACATCATATTACTTTTCAGCAGTTGCCGAAAACAAGTCTCTTTTTTCGGGAGTTCATTCATTAGATGAAGAACTATCAGAATAGGTTCACATGTTTTGATTTGATGGCAGATTAAATTACTGAGGTTTTTGTCCTTTTTAGATTTAGTACCAAGAATGGGCCCTGGCATAGTGGGTTTATCCCCCTTGGAGATAAAGAGTTAAATGGCCATAATTATTTCAATGTGCTTCTATATTTACTCAAAACAAAATATGTGTGTGTAACTGAAAAAAGGGTTGGAACGTCGTCTAGGCTTGATAAGAGAAAGTTGGGAATATTAATGTATGTCTCTTTTCATCTATGCAGACGGTTAACTTAGCTTGACAAGGACAATGACAATGACAATGACAATCTTTATTCATCTCGCAGGGAGAAATTTGTCTTGGTCGTTAACAATGGCAGTAGACGTTACAAAAGTTAAACTTGAAGGTCTCAAGGTTGTCTTCATGCAGCTTCTTTCGTAGCTGATTCTTCCTATGTTTGAAGCGCAGATTCTGTCGCCATGCTTGCATGTCAGTGACGTGGATAGAACCTCTGTATTTCCGCTGTTTTCCTTTTGTCTTTGGCGCTTCTCAACCTGGTTGTTTCTAAGGCTGTTCTCTAGAATTATAATTCTTTCCTTTATCATTTTCCTCCATGTTTTCCTGTCCTCAGTTATTTCTTCCCAGATGCCGACATCTACTCCAAACTTAGATTAAAGCTGTTTTTGCAGGGGAACAATAATATAGTGAAAAATTGAACAATTTCTGGTCAAATTGAGATTGTTTAGGCTATGAGCTCATCCACGAGGACCTCCATCACCTCCCCTACCCCCCCCCCTCCCGACGGTGCTACTCAATGAAGTGTCTTAAGGCCATTCTCAAAAGGGGGACATTAACTTTTAATATGTTCTTATGCACAGTAGAATTGTAATTGTAAATGAGCTGATTCGTCAATGTCATGCTCATAACTGTGCCTGAACTGCAACAGGGAACTGCTGCTTTTTCTTTCCTAATCCTTACTGTCGTCATTTTTCCTCTACTATTTTTGTACATTTGTCACGCTCTTGTGATCCGCTATTTCCGGGGTGCCTTGATAGTCGAAGCAGACTTTGTGATTTTGAGGCGATAGAGGTGAGCAGAGTCAGTCTGATTCCCTGTAAGGACTTCTCTGTTGACATCCACCCCTTAGCGCTCATATGACCGTATGCAGTTTCGAGCGCCGTAAAACCTCTACTAAAACTAGAGTAAGTCTGATTCCCTGTGAGGACTTCTCTGTTGACATCCACCCCTTGGCGCTCATGTGACCTTATGCAGTTGCGAGCGCCGTAAAAACCTCTTCTAAATCTAAAACTAAAAGGGCCTCCACCACCCCCAGGTACTGACGAGGACGCCTTGATCAATGTCCTGGCCTACAGAGCCAGCCCGCAGAGAGTGGAGATCGTCAACGCCTACAAGACCATGTTTGGAAAGGTCAGAATTTTGTTTTCTCTATAACTCATTGACTATAATTCATCCTACCCCATTCGAATGCTTGAAAAAGCTTGACTTCGCTATATCCATACAAATTGTCCAATTCTGTTTTCTGTTTCTGAAACTTAAAAAGGCAGGCAACAACATCTATATCAATAATATTAATATGAAATGTCCAATGTTGTGTTTCTGGCTTGTGTATGTGGGCTTGAAATGTGTCACAACACTGACTTTGATCTGTTTTTGGTCGGAAAAATGTGTCTGACGCGTCCTTAAAGAGTTACGGTGGTACCAATAACTCATGATTGGGCCGTTCTGGTTTCAGGAAGAGGGTGGTTAAACTACTACAGTCACACCAGATGGATATCTCACCGTGCTGAGAAAGTTTGGGAGGAGTTTGGGAGGAGTTTGGGAGGAGTTTGGGAGGAGTTTGGGAGGAGAAGGTGTTATGCTGTAGAGGCCTGGTTCCAGTGGGATGGAGTCCACTCCCCAAATGTCTAGAGTATTCCTTGTATGGTCTCTCTCTCTCTTTCTCTCTCTCTCTCTCTCTCTCTCTCTC